TATATACATTTATTAAAAGGAATTTTAAACCCTTCCCACACTCTTTCAATATTCTTAACGATGTTTCTAAACTCTAAACGCACTAAAAGATCACAGAATGTCATGATTTCAGCTCCCTGCCTCCGCTGCTCTCAACCACCTGCAAGTGCTCTTGCCCACGCCCACGTCTATGCTCTGCATGGAGAACAGCTGATCAACTGCAGCAAGAAGTTTATCCTGCACAAAGGTGCAGGAGGAAGCTTTTTCAAGGGCTCTGGACTGTACAAAGGTGCAGCAGGTTCTAAATAATTAAAAATAATTTATTTTGAATAAAAATTCCATGCCGATCGTACGGCTCATCCATCAATCAGCCAATTGTGTGTCATGTCCAATCTTATTTTGAAAAACTGCGATAGAACAAGTCCTCGATAAACGAACCGCGAAGTGGCGAGGCACTACTGTAATATTAAAAGTTTATTCTCATAATATTATGACTTCTCGGATTAGTACAACTTTATTCTCATAATATTATGACTTTATTCTCTTAATACTATGACATTATTCTCATTTGCAATTTGTTTTTTTGTTTGTTTTGTTTTTTGAATGTCCATAGGACTAGACTTAATTTTTTTTAGATTTTTCTACCTGGATTATTGAGCATGCATCAGGATACTTATTTGTAATGTTTTTTTTTTCTTGTTTTTTGTCTTAACATGGCCCTAAACCTCCATCCTAGTATCAGACTTTGTAGATGCTTTTCTTAACGAAGAGAAGAAGGCACACCATTTCTGAACATGTTTGTGTACCTCTTAAGAACAAACTGAAGCATTACCTAAAGTCATTTAAAGATTTCAAACGTACATTTGTTTCCATTTCCTAAAATTATCCCCTTGCAGAGCAAAGCAAAACATGCAAATGTTCAGATTTATTAATGGAACACATTGAACATCTCCAAACTCCGTCAAAAGTTTGTTTACAAAAAAAAATCAAAAATCAAATCCACGGTTCGTGCTCATTGTTAGCCCAGGGCTATGGATAACCCTGGGCTAAAAGCGTTGAGTGAAAACCAGGTGACTCTGGTGTATCTGTGCTCCTTTTCTTTTTGACATCCACCTTGCATTCTTTATTGGCATTCATCCAGTATTAATGCCAAAGTTGGTTAGATTGCACCAGCTGCCTTTCAAGTCTTGTTTTCATCTTCTGAAGTCTTTCCCCTTTACTCTGTTCCATTCATATTCTGCTCTCTCCCACCACCTCGAAGGGCAGAGGCTATGAGAATAGCAAATGCCCCTTTTCCTCATATTGCTTCAGTTTGCCGTAGGGGTGGCGAGGCAGCCTTGAAAGCTCAGCTCTGCACTCAGTTCCCTGTGAATGAGCAGTGGAGAAGCCAGAAAAGCCTCATCTTAGTCATTCCTTCACTTTTGGTAACTTTGCTGCGATTTTCCTTCTAGTTAAAGCCGTTGCAATTTGGAAAGATTTTTGCTGTAAAAGCAATTTTGCTCTCCATTTGCCGGTCCTTTAACGAACCGTTATCTGTCCTCCTGTCTTGTTGCAATCAAAGAGCGTTCACTTAATTTTCCCGCAATATGATGAGAACACTTTTCTTCTGGCTCATCTGAAAGAAAGTACCTATGCTTGTGATTATTTACAGTTTTAATTAGTTCAAAATGTGCAAATGTAGGTGGAATTAGAATTGACCTAACATAGATTACTGTGTGCCCTCAATTTAAGCTGCGGTTACTACTTTGCATGCACAACCTGAGCCTCTCTACTTGCGCAGTGTTTTTCAGCTCTGGCGTTTATACATTTTGTCATGGAAGGAAATGGATTTGAAAGTTGGATAGCGTTGAAGATGAACTGTCAGTGTAAACAGTGTTTCTTGGCCATAGGTCA